ACCGCGTGCGAATGAATGAGCTAATGGCATTATGAAGTCTCTCTGAGTGGTGGCGAAACGCTTGTAACCAAATTACAAACCACAGCGAACAAACCAAGTACAAGACAGCGCACCCAGTTTACATCGGCTGTCGCATTATGATGTCTCTCTGACTGGTGGCGAAACGCTTGTAACGAAATTGCAAACCACTGCGAACAAACCAAGCACAAGACAGCGCACCCAATTTACATCAGCTACCATCAAGGCTGTCAGAATACACTCACCACAAACCTACTGTTTACCTATTATGCTCTCGTCACTTTTCTGACATACTGCGATCCGCACTTCGAAACCATAGCGCCAGTTAAGTGACCGAAAATGCTGTGACGCAAACTAATATCACAGTGAACCTACACTATGACGTCTGGTCTATGCAGAACCGAGCGACAATAGTAATAACGCGAACGGACAAAAAACAATCAAAGAACAGGTGACTATTGATTGACGGAAATACTTTTGGCTCGATCAAATATAACCAAGCAAGAGGGAGAGAGAAGGACACAGGACTGTCTGTCCACTGCAACACTGTTCCCCTATGGTACTATCCAACAGGAATTTATGGCACAATTCGCATGCGTTATGAAGTAATAAAACTTTTGATCGTTTCACACGGAATGTTACAACAAACTGTGTCCAGATGTTTCTTTTCAGTTTATTACTTATTATACTAACTAGTAGTACTACTAATATTACCATTGTTTATTATCTAACATTGGTTAACGATTTTATAGAAGACGCCACTCTCATTCTGCGCTTAATATCAAGGAGCTACGAAGTACTGGTTTTTACTTGAATTGATTTACCGGGTTTTCAGTCGGTAGACTTTAATGGTTGGAATGAAGAGAAAATATTAGTAAGGCACCCATAAGGATTTTCTCTAATTATCTTCCACCAAGGCGATCTTTCGGGTAATCCCTGAAAAGAGTCCTGATTCAGCAAGAGATTCAGTTGAGTCTCTCGTGAAAAGCAAATTGATTTGCAACTGAGTGTATTTCGCGAAAGTCTTCATTCTGGTGGCAATATAAACAGACAACCCGTCTTTCTCCTCGTCCAAAGTATACAAATCTTAGACGAGGACCCCAAAGGGTGCCCCCATTTCATACTGGGATCCTTTGGTATGATAAGTGGAGCTGCTTGTGAGATATGCGGTGATTTCAACTATGCTTTGGTGTTCTCAAGGGACCTTCCGAGTTTCCATCTGGCAACACCACAAGCTACAAGGCAAGTAAGAAAGCAACCAACCAGCATACCAAAAACACAAACGTACAGACAAAAACAAGCGACACAAACAGGTAAACAAATAAACAATAAACAAAAATAAACAAATAAATAGATAAACAAACATATAAAACCGAACGCAAAGGTCGCTGAACGAATGCTTCTTCAATAAACTGGTTATCGTTTTCAACGGATACACCCATCGGCATACCAATGCTTTTTTCACGGGGACTCACCTGAAACCCTGATCAATGTTTCGTTTGTGATTTTCGTCAACTAAAAAACAAACTACATAAAAATTACTATGTTTGCCAGGTTGCTTGCATTTTTGATTCAAGTAGGTTGACGGAAACTCGGGGACTGTTCTGTTCCGTTGATCCCTAATTGAAAGGACAAAACTGGTTGTGGGCTATTGAAGAGTTCTCAACAACCGTGTGAGTAGTTTTCTTTTTGAAAGTAGACTTCGATATCCCGAATATCGTACCAACTGAAACATGAAGCGGCCTTTGTGCAGCACGTTCACTTTTGAAGAATATCATAAACGAGAGATTCAGCCGACTCTCCCGTGAAAACCAAATTTATTTGCAAATGAGTGCATTTGCCGAAACCAGTCCAATTTCGGTCCAAGTAGAACATAAGGTTGACGGAAACTCGGGGACCATGTCTAGTTATGAGCCCCAATTG